AAAGAAAAATTTCTAGAGGGAATCCGAAATCTGTCTTTCTAATATTTCATGTCTGAAGTTGAAGGCTTGGTTAATGATCTTGAAATGGTAGAGAAGAACACGCGTTAGAAAAGTATCCAAAGAACAAACGCCAGATCGAAAATGAGACATTATGTACTTGTTCCATGTCTATTGAGGGTAACCTCAGTAGTAATGTTCTAATCTCTGATTGCTCTAATTCTTCTAGGTTTTCCCTTGTGTGTTTCAGCACAGCTGTGAAAAATTGAAATTTAAAGCATGGGTAAGAAGGAAGGAGTTTGCACTTTAAAATAAAGAAACATAAGAAATCTTGCGAACCTAGGCAAACAAAAGGATGAAACTCGATTGGGTCGTCAATTGAAAAGTATGTGTCTGAAAATAACAAGAATTAGCAAATAATGAACCATAATTCAAAAAGAAACATAATCATTTGTCTATAAGTACCCCAAAGACGCATCAAATCTTCTAACTGAAGTTCTTTGGCCAACAAAAATTGTAACCAGGATGATGCCCATTCATTGATGTCGACTTCTTCATCTTCAAAGTAGTTATACCTAGATGGTCAGGATTAAGTCAGAAAATTTCAAATCGCAAATATGATGAGCATTGAAATAGCCACGCACAAATCGGGAATGAACTCTCTGAACAAGGTCATGAAATTTGCGACACGTTCGTTGATGCTGTGGGTTGAATTATGCTCGTCTAAGAAAAACGAAAAAGATTTAGATCGATCAATGTGAATGGATGACGAATGTACCAGAGAAACTCACCAAGAGTGGCCATGAGTCGTATGAAACAGTGATACACGTCCGATTCACTTTTTATGCAGTACACGAATGGACCGCAAAGATGAACAAGGGCCGGATGGTAGTCCACGTTTCGATTATTATTCATGTAGGCGCCGATCACATTTTCAAAGATGGCTGTATTGGTGCCATCGACATCACGGACCCTACGTTGGTATCGGCTCACTTCGCCTCGTAGACGTTTTATTATGTCCGAATTTTCTTTCTCAGCGGTAAGATATTCTTCGTACTTGTCCTTGAGGCTGGTCAATTCCTGTGCTATCAGAATACATTAACGTAAAGTTACACTTAAATAACTTTGTATTATCATCGAGAAGATAATCGAGGGATATCTAGCTTACATCTGTCAGCAGGGTTTACACCGAGCAAATACTTCCACGCTTCCTTTTAAAGGAAAAATAAGAAGAAAAAAAAAATTAACTCGATAAGGTGGAGATCATGTACGAGTGATTATCTTGGAGAGTTGATGAGTTTGATAATGCATAATCATCATCCAATTGGATTTTTACCCCGCGGACTTCCAAGGGAACGCCATGTCGAGCTGCTTCGCGTAATTTATCGAGGTCGACATAAACTTCGGCATTTAGGATCTCAATGAATTCTTTAACTGACGTCGTCATTTCCAGAATTCTTTGATTAATCCTATGATTTATGGGATATCTGGCTGGCTGCGAAACTCGAAGCATATATGAAACAAGGGGAAGGAGAACACGAAGAGGGATGTGTGAAGATGTCTAAAAGTGAAACAGACAGTAGGTTCAAGTAGATAATTATGTACAAGAACGAAAAGGTCGGAGGGTGAAGGTTCGTTGTTTTTTCAAGTTTTTAATACATAGCAATCTATATAAAGAATGTACGCGACGAGCATAAAAAAATAGTAGTAATCATATCACTGTCTGGTGGATCTCAGATAGATAATTGATAATTGATAATATCTATCAGAAGATGGGAAGCAGATAATTAGAGTGTGAAAAAAAAATTACAGGTTTTTCTCACAGGATGAAGGGAATATTAAGGTTTTTTTCGAGAATGTGAGGGGGTAAAGAAGGAAGGACGATGTTGGGATATTTATTCTAGAATCGGAAGCTGGTGATGTTAATGATGACGGATCATAGAGGAAAAAGGATCAGTCATGATAAACGGTGGGAATTGTATTTTCAGATGTCGCACCAAAGTTACTCGGCACGTAGCACGAAGTTTGTCCACCCACTTACGGTAACTGTCAATTTACAAATCTCCTCTTTAATCCAATAGTTTCCCCTGTCGTCTCCTCCGTTGATGATTAAGGAAAAAAAAAAAAAAAAAGCGATCAATCACGATAAACGTCATGCAAGAGCAAGATAATGAATGATTTACCGCACTTTGCTTGAATAGGATTTTTTTATATTGTGCCAATAACGCAAGAGCAGATGTAATGTGTATGTGTAATCAATACTTTCTATTGTACCAAACATTCGATTATACATGTATAAATCAAATTTGTCCATATCGGTGAAAAGATTTTAGTGATGACCCAAAAGCTCAGTTGAGAAACATTTGAAAATTTCATACTTTGCCAATCTGCTATTCTGGTTTCAAAGAGAGCACAACGGATAATTTTTTTTTTTTTGATTTTTTTTTTTTTTTTTTTTTCCTGCTGTGAGATACGTTCAAATATTACGTAAATAACAAGAAATCTTCCGTTGTCCCCCTTTCATGAGAGTTTACGGTAAATTAATATGATAAATAAGTAAAATCTCGCGCCATTTGCTTCCGAGTGCAGTATATATTTGTGTATATTGATTGACTTACGGACAAATATAATTTCTTACATGCAAATAACAATGAGTCACCAACTACGGTGGCAGGTGACGGCAGATGGGTTTTTTTTTTCATTATATTGTCACGTTTCAATTCACGAGCGCCAATAAAATCCACGAGGCCTACGTTTGCCTCACCCGTCGTGATTTCAGGTGATCCCAAGTGATCAACCATTTACGATTTGTGTTTTGGTGACTAGACCGAATATAGAAACGATAGTAAAACATTAATGTGAAACAATGTTTTC